AGTAATGTTATATCAGTCTTACCTCATATGACGTTTTTTTTTTACGTAATTCCATTTTGCTTCCTCTAGATGGCAGCGTTTTAACGTCAACCGGCAAAATAGACACATTTTGCTGTGATTGGCATCCCGCAATATTAATTCCTATTAAATGTCCTTATTGCATAATAAAGCGCACTGTGGAAACCTGGGTGACTGATTTACTATAATTCAATACATGTGCATCTAGTAGTACAACATTCAGTCAAACCTATTAATATAATATATGAACATACTAATAATACGTATCTAAGAAATGGAATCGTAGTGTACTCCTAAATCATGTGTATCTTGCAGCTATAAATTAAATGTGCCTTATGGTTCTTATATATTTACAAGTTTACAAACAGATTTTAAAGAATCATGAGAAGAGCAGACCGTCATTTAAGAGGAGCCGAGATCACTTCAGGTGGCTGTGTAAGCAAGGGACCAGGGGGAGGTACGAGCAAGCAGCCCGCTCGTCTGTCCGCATTTCCCTGCGGTACCAAAGCCCTTTTTGGGACACAGTGCCATTTCATCCGAAATGCGTCGTGATTCTGGGCTCCCTGAAGTAGATTTGTTATGGATGCTTGGAGTCATTAAGTGACACCATTATGAAAAAAAAACCCTGACTCATACTTATATGACTCATGATGAGAAGTGTGTGTGTGTGTGTGTGTGTGTCTGTGTGTGTGTGTGTGTGTGAGAGAGAGAGAGAGAGAGAGAGAGATTTGCAGGATGTACTGTGTCTGACACTGCTTTGGGACTGAGGGATTTGTTTGTGGCTGCTGACTAGATATTTTTTCCTTCATTTGGTTTTGGCTCCCATAAAATCATCTATTCCTGTACTCAATTGAACGATGTCTAATTATTGTTTTAATATCAAGGGAATGCATGCTTGGTAATACTTGAACTCGAGATGAAAATGCTTTCCTTGTGTCCCAGGGAACTGGCAGGGGAATGCCATCACTATGGCAACGATTGGAAAGGGGCCACCGGCGATCTGAGGGAATTATCAGCCAATTCCCTCTGGTAGCGAAATGCCGCCCCCCCACGAGGGACATTAAAACCGCAAGGCTGAAGTTCATCTGACACTCTGCCGATCATCGTCTGAAAGGGAAGCCTATCTGTTCACCAACTTTCCCATACATAAATGTAGCGAGAACGTGCATGAAAAGTTTGCTGGCATTTGATACCCGACGCATTAGCAAACACACCAGGCTTATTCTCTAGCTTACAGTCGCAGCCCCGGTGGAATTTCTCTTAAATCGCTCCTAAATTGTTCTTGACTTGATATGCCCATTTTTGAGATGTAATCATTTTTTGCCCCTTGGCTATACTCTACACGCACCATTGGCTCCATGCCAGCCTGAGGGAAACGCAAAGTAATTAATGTAATTAAATCCAGCCGCCGCCTGTCCGTTAGCCGATGTCGTTATGTCACGGACGCTGCAGTGCTTTTTCAGTAAATGCCGGTAATTACGGTGTGCTCGACAGTGCTTCGTGACTGAGTTGGATCCAGGGCAACCTAGATGAGACCCGCGCTGGTGATTGACAGGTCAGGGATGCTCTCCGAGGCTACACCTCTGTTCTTTTGACACCCCCAAACGTGGGACCTGCTTCATTTCCCCGTGCCCCCCAGACAGAGGTTATACAGTTTCCCGATGAATCAGCCGAGTGTGTCACGCAGCTGTTGCACAAACAGCCGTGATTGCTTGTGTTCTGTTTGATTGCGGTTCCACATTACATCTGCCTCCCTGCATCGTACTTCGTCCTCATTCTAAACACCTCTTCTGATCCCCTGCAGCATAAAACGTAACAAATCGCATTTCCATTTCGCATCCATCCTTCCATTCCTGCTAAGATTCAACTAAAGAAGCAGGAAATCTGGAAAAGGCTAATTTGTCCTGTTATCACTCATCATGACCTTTTCTCAATGGCCTAAGAAGCATTATTTTAAAGCAATGGCGATATTTGAAGCGTTTCTATCCACATGCTTTTTCTTATAAAAAAAACGAGTCTGCAACATATATTTTGTTATGGGAAATGAAATGTTTTTTTCAGCCTGTAGCTGTTTATGCAGTGAGGTTACACGGAGTGCTTACTGGCAAGTGTGTTTATGTGTGTGTGGGTGTGTGAATTTTATCAGAATTGCACAGACGCAGAGTGGTGGTATCTTTCCACATTAAGAAACTTAACATGAGGATTTACATTCTATAACAAGATGATTATTTAAGCATGTATTAAAGACATGTTACCCTATAAAACATTATACCCCTTATGAACACTCATAAGCCCCTTATAAACACTTATAAACCCCTTTTACACACTTCAGTTCCGGTGGTAGTGGGAAAATCACCCCAATTCTTTGTCCAATTTCAACATCATCATTACCATTATAATTTTCATTATTCTGGAAAAAAAAAATTACAAAATACATAGAATTGCCTTACATTAAATATAATCCTTTAGAAACTCTGTACCACCTAAATGCTGGGGGACAGGATGACCAAAATGAATTGCAATTAATAAATATATTTTGAAATGTGTTCACATAAAGTTGTGGAAATCCAGATCCCAAGACTGTGGACAAAAGCAGTATGTCCCCAAAGTAGGTATTTTAGCATCATGGAAATCTGGGCATACCTTAACGTCTTCGGCTCTTCTGGGTCTCCTCTCCTTTCGGCTCTGTCTCCCCTCTGAGATGCTTAGCTCACACGGTAGTGCCCAGCCAAGCTCAGTCTTGCACCTCACACGAAGGAATGCTGCACAGCTCCTCCTTTCCCATTCACCAGTCCGGGCCCATTAGTGGCATCCCTCCTCCCCAAGGGTATCAGGTGCATCTCTGTCAACCAATAGCATAATTCCAGGGGCGGAGTCTGTCTGTGAATGGGTAAGGCAGGGGGGCGGGACCAAAGTGCTGTGGAGCAGGTCATCTTTGACAGCTCTGAAGCACTTCCTGCGACACCTGCTTTCATTCTCCCTCTACTGCCCCATTTCAGTAGATTCTGTTATAGACAAACTGAACAAGACCTTGAGGAAGAGGAGCAGCACTACAGGAACAAGAGCACCAGTAGGGGAACAGGAACAGAACCGCAATACAGGAGCAGCACAAGAAGCAGTGTCTGGGAACAGAAACACTAGAGGACCGGGGGCACTACCAGGGGAACAGGAGCAGTACTAGCCGATTAGAAGCAATGACAAGGGAACAGGAGCAGGACTAGCAGAACAGGAGCGATACCAAGGAAACAGGAGCAGGACTAGGGTAAAAGGAAAAGAGCTGCATTACAGAAGCAGCACCAAGGAAATAGGAGCAGCACTAGGGGAACAGAGGCAGTTTCAGGGGAATGGGAGCAGCACTAGGGCAACAGGAGCAGTACCAGGGCAAAAGGAGCAGCACTAGGGGAACAGGAGCAGCACTAGGGGAACAGGTGCAGTACCAGGGCAAAAGGAGCAGCACTAGGGGAACAGGTGCAGTACCAGGGCAAAAGGAGCAGCACTAGGGGAACAGGTGCAGTACCAGGGGAACAGGAGCAATATCAGGGAAATGGGAGCAGCAGTAGGGAAACAGAAAAGGTGTCAGGATAACAGGAGCAGTATTAGGGGAAAAGGAGCAACACTAGGGGAACAGGAACAGCTCTATGAGAACCAAAGAAGCATTCAGGAAACAGGAGAAGCACTAAGAGAACAGAAGCAGTAGTTCCACACACTACACATTTTCAGACCATGTCATTTGTTGCCCCTTTTCATATAAATCTAAGGTGGGCAAAGGGAACAAAAAGTACACTAGGGGAACTAAAACAGAGTGAGGGTAACAGGAGTAGCACAAAGCGAAGTAAATCAGGGCTCGGGAAGTTGAATCAGAGATTGGGAAACAGGAGGAATACTGGGGGAACCTGACCAGAGCTAAGAAAACAAGAATAACACTAAGGGAAGCCAGTCAGAGCCGGGGAACAGGAACAGCAACTGGGTAACCAAATCAAAGCAGAGGGAACCAGAACAATTCCACAGACATTTTTCAGCAAATCCTTTTAAAGAACTAAGTAATTTCATCTGAAATCAGTAATAAAGGTGTTAATTCCAGCTAAACTCTGATATCTCATTTAATCCAAATGATTCGGTTTCGTGGCATACTGATCTTTTAATTGTCGCTATCTGTCTTCATATATTCCAGCTATTAAGGACAAAACTAGGGAGGAACCGTTTCCTTTCACCAGAAGTCAGCAACAATAATTACTTGCGGGGGTTTCAATACAATGAGTCTCTGGAGGCACTAGATGCGGTCAGGGACCCCATAAGGGACAATTTTATTGTAGGGAGAACATTATACCAATAGGAGGATCTGCAATGAGGTGGCACTCTATGGAGGGCATGTTCTCCAGGGGCCCCAGCCAGTAGGGGCCCCTAGTCTCTTTAGGGTGGTCGCTCTCCCTGTTCCACCTGCCAACAATTCAGGCACAATGATATTCCCCTTCCCCCTCATCTGCCTTTATCCCAGCTTGGGTTGTTCCACCCCAACTGGAGCCCTAAGCACTCACCACCCTGGTCCCCAGTGGTCAGGAAACCACGGTCACCACCGGCCAGCATGGTGCTCATTGCCTTTTTGCGATCCCAGTAGACATCGCGATGGTCTCAGGTCGTCGTTGCATTGTGAGGACCCTGTGGTTCTGTAGCGGCTACTAAACATACCCCACGATATCCTGTCATAAAATGGCAATGCGATTAATAGCAGTACATCTTACTATCGATTAAACAGATGCTGTTATAACAGAAAACCTTTTGGTGCAGCTCTGAAGATGAGGACTCTTTGTCCGGAATCAGTAGGTTGCTGGTTCTAGTCCCATAGTTCCCAGAGTGATTTCACTTTTGGGCTTTTGAGCAAGACCATTAACCTCAATTGCTTTGGAATATCACAGATAGCACGATGGAACACCCGCTTCCCCTAATATATGCTGATTGCCCAGCTCTGCTACACCAACAAAGGCTGAAGAATTCTGAAAGTTTATTAAGCTTATACAGGCACTGAGCATGAAATATTTTACAGAGATTAAATTAACAATCACAGGTTTACACATCATCTGCTGATTTGTCATGGGTTAATGTCTTTCTGACTAACAAAGCTTTGGGAAGCTGGATCCTTCCTTTTCAAGATTATGCGGTCCCCAAACAATTATTTCATACTTATACTGTGCTGGGGATGTAATGTTACTCATAATGCATTTGTTTTAAACAGTGCAGAGGGAATATCTAATCGCAAACATTGCTCCAAATGACACTAAAACAGTGTGTTGCTGCTTTCCTTTGTGGGAAAGTAAGTATTTTAGAGGTACATCTTCTACACTTAAGTCACACAATGTCATTATTGTTAAATCCAAAAATGATTTCAGCACAGTACGTAGATTCCACAGCTAGCGAGTTGAAATACTAAGTTTGTAGCAGCCAATAACATAACATAGCAATAACGTAATAGCATGCCAATAACGTAACATCAACATAAAATAAATTAAATTATGTAATAACTGGTTAACAATATAATAACTTATTACTATTATTTTTCTTAATTCCACCACCACCACCCCCTCTACAGAGGACAAATTTATTTGCAATAACTTATTACATTATCAGCAAAAAGCTTTGTTATTGGTTCTTAAAATGTTTTACATGATTGGCCAGTAATTACATTATTGCCATTTATTTATAGTATTGGCTTCTACAACATCCAAGAATACTTCTGGGTACATAGTGAGTTCTGAAAGTGCACAAAGTAAACTTTCTGTATATCAGTACAAGTCGGAAACAGTCAACTTCAAAAGTGCTAACATTTTTTCAACAGCCGTTTAATCTGAAGATTAACACATGAAAGGTTCTCAATGACATGTTCATGCTATTTGTATAATAAAGCCTCCCGTTCTTTGAAGTTGGAGAGCGATACCCCTCCACAGATATTGAAGAACTTAGGTGAAACAAGGCATCTCCAGAACATCTCCTGAAGGACATGGTGAGGAAAGCGCAAGGAGACTTCAGGAAAGGCACCCCAATCCATGTGACGGGCGCTGAGTCTTCAGACAATCGTTTCCCTCGCCGAATCTGAGTGAATAAACAGGCTTCCGGGATCCGAGGAGGTGGATCGCGTCCGTCTGGGGACTCTCTCTGTTGGCGAGGTGGGGAGGGAGAAGTCGTCTTGTAAGGCATCTATCTCCTCCTGCCCTTCCTCCTCACACTCCACCAGGGGGAGCTGCAGGAACTCTGGGAGTTCCAAGTGATCTTTGCACAGTAGCCCTCGCTGGTCGTCAGCGCTGCACCACTGTGCCCTGTTCAGCAGCTCCATCAGACCTGGCGAGAAGATCCATAAAGAACTGATCTCCTTTCCTTACAGACATTTAAATAGCTGTAGCTCAGTGCTTATCTAGAATAACATCCTTTAACACATAATCGGAGGTGGATAGTTCAGGTCCAGAAAGTACAAATCCAGACCAAGATTTTGTTTTAACCAACCAGTTGAGCATAAACAGTCACAGTCACAGAGTACTCAACTGGTTGGTTGGAACAAAATCTTGGTCTGGATTTGTACATCCCGGACCTGAAATTTCTACCTCTGCACAATGTACTTAAATGAGGTGAATAAATGGAGTTGAAATGCCAAAGTTCCTCGTCATTGAAAGCGTCTGAAGTTCTCGTCCTTGGACCCACCATCCATGTCATAGGTCCTCCTTACAGCCGCGTTCCTGCGCCTTGAGTTGGGTCTCAGTTTATCGGCAGATAGGGTCTGGCCTGTCGCTGGCTGCCTCTGTAAATGGATGGCACTGTGCTTAATATACGGAGCAGAGAACCTTTTAGGAAGTCAGAGCACTTCTGGACTGGGATCAGGCCAGAGCCCGGCACTGACCTGGTGGAGGGCAGGCTGATCACTGACACCCAAGCTGCTGTTTTCACTCTTGGCTGGGAAAGAATGGCAGATTAAATGTCTCATCGGTAACATCTCACACAGAAGGCTGGCTCCTGCATCCTAATGGCGGGGGGGGTAACACATCCTAGGTAACAGCCAGAGGCGGGTAGTTCAGGTCCGGTGAGTAAAAATCCGGATCAAGATTTTGTTTCAACCAACCAAATAAGAATTCTGTGACTGTGACTCTTTATACTGGTTGACTGAAACAAAATCTTGATCTGGATTTTCACTCACCGGACCTGAACTACACACCTGCTAACAGCTGCCAAAATCAGGGGTTCTGCCCGGCAAGACAGGTGCCCTGGCTAGCTTCTGTTAAACAAACAGTTAAAGTTAATAAATCTGGTCGATCTGGTTGCCGAGATAACTGCCCCTCCCCACTTAGCTGTGAACGCCCCCCCCTTCTGTTCTGCATTACATAATACACGCTTCTTTCACGGACATGCATTTAGGTGAATTTGGTGATTCGAATTTCCCCTGCTCTGCATTCTCTGTAACACCGTGTTATGGAAATTGGATGGATGGATGGATGGATGGATGGATGGATGGATAACATGTAGTACACAGCAGCTGTATAAACTGAACTCTACACATACTGTATTGGACAGTTAAGGTTGAAATAATCCTCTGCTTTCAGAACCATTTAGAGAAAGACTTCCCCCAGGTAGGGTAAGCTGGACATGAGCCGGACAGATACTCCTTGTCAAGTTGCGTTTCTGTATTTAATGAGGCCCAACGTGACTCGGCCTGGACTGCCATGACACAAATGCACAGTGACACGAGGGACAGCCGGTTCACCGTTAAAGTCGGTAATGCACATATATTCCTCTTCCCTGACCTTAAGCAGGTGAAGCGACGATGTTAACAGAAACGCAACTAAAAATGGAATTGAGGGACCAATTAATCACAGAGGCAGCCATCACTGAAAGCATTTAAAGTGCTCGTTTGTGACTATGGTGACATACGAGTCACACGGGATATGGACACGTGTAGATCTGGAGCAGTCACCGCTACCCCAGTTTGTTCATGCTTGTCACCCAATCACAGACATTCCGCTGTTGCCATGCAACAGAACCAAAGGTTGCCATATCAGTCTTGCAGATATATGAATATGATCGTTTCGGCTGTGCTGATTCGCACTGTGATGCCGCACGTGATCAGCTGGAAATATACGCGTTTTTTCCTGTTTACAGAGCCAAACTTTAACAAGTTATCTGGCAACAGCTATCTGGTAATGTGCACACATAGTATTAAAAGCTGGCATTTAAAAATGTATTTAAATCCCATCTCTGGTGCTGTACTTACTTTTTACTTTGTGTAGCTGTAGCTTCTTGTTGGCCAGAGACGTTATATTCATGGTTGTGTCCAAAGGGTCTTTACCCCCAGTCTGAAGCAAAACCAAGATCCCAAAAGGGAAAAAAAAACATGCATGTCATAGTCCAAACATCCAAAACGATGTCAGTCCTGTTTCTGAAACTACTGTGTTTGAAGATTAAGATTAAGATTGAGATTGAGATTGAGATTAAGATTAAGATTAACTTTACTGATCCCAGGGGGAAATTCTGGTGCATACAGCAGTGAGAACATTGTGCACAGACAAACATAGATATAGTGCAGAACAGACATAAAGCAGACAAAGTGTGGAGACAGTAGCTAAGGTGAATACAGGGGCAGCGTATGGCTCACTAGGCTAAGGCTTTGTGCCTGTGATCCAAAGGTTGTCAGTTCAAGCCTGACTTCAGCACACCTGTGGGTCCTTGAGTAAAACCCTTAACCCCCCAACTCCCTTTCACAGCTAAGTTTTCTCTCACAGAAAGCAAGATGGGGGGGGGGGTGGTGAAAAGAGAAATTCCCCATGGGGATCAATAAAAAGTATCAGTTATTAAATGTGGTGCACAACAGAATGTTGTAACATTACAGAAATGAATATTTAATAAGGCATCAGACAAGGTCATGATAGGCCTCATGAAAAAGTTGAGTCAGGCCTTTTATACCAATTTTGTAACTAGAGTCACATCTTTATTGACTGGCAGGACAAACAGAGGAATTTAAGGGTTATGTAGGGAGTGTACGCAGTTTAAGGGTTATGTAGGGAGTGTACGCAGTTTAAGGGTTATGTAGGGAGTGTACGCAGTTTAAGGGTTATGTAGGGAGTGTACGCAGTTTAAGGCACGCGCCGCCCGGATGTCCCGACACAGAATGGCACCGGGGGATGTTCTGTTCCGTCGTTGCTGTCGGTTACACTCACCATGGTAACCACGGCCTCCTCCGGCTGTACGCCGTGCTCCTGCATCACGCGGAGCAGTGCCTCACCCAGGGTCTTGCTGCTTTTCTGCGTGACCTTCTCGATCTTCCTGGAAAACGCAACCTCCACCCTGAAAAGCACGACAACGCTTCCCCTCGCAAGAGCGAACCGGGCACGTTTGCATCGCCAAAAAAAACCAGACGAGGGTTTTTGAGAAAACAGAGCAAGCTGTCGGTACTCACAGAAACGTCACCTGCAGCTCCAGCCAGACCTCCTGCTCTTTCAGGACGTAGCTGTCCAGGTCCATGGAGAGTGGCTCCTGGGGAGGAATCAGGGTTAGATTAGATCAGATTCAACTTCACTGGCATTGCAAGTACAAGTCCTCAAGCAATGAAATGTGCATGTGTGTGTGTATAAATGCACCTCTATCCCCACTTCATAATTGTTTAAATATACTACATTT